CGCCAGAGCCAGCAAGGGCACGCGCGGTGCTCCCGGGGCCGGGACCGGCCATGCGCCCGGGGCTGGCACGTGCCAGCCCAGATTGCTCCGCAGGCGCATGTAAAGAGCCTGGCGGGCCCCATGGCGCCCGCGGGCACCGGGTTGGGGACCACGGTGTTAGTCTATAAGGTGCCATAGGACTTCTTCTAGAATACTCAAGAAGCTAATAGAGGAGGTATCTGAGCCATTAGCTATCATTCTTGAAAAGTCATGGAAGTAGAGAGAGATTCCAGAAGACTGGAAGAGTTCAAATGTGCCCAGCTATAAAAAGGGAAATAAGAACAACCCAGGAAACTACAGATGAGTCAGTTTAACTTCTGTACCAGGAAAGATAATGGAGCAAGTAATTAAGGAATTCATCTGCATACATCTAGAAGATAAGAAGGTGATAAGTAATGGCCAGCATGGTTTTGTAAAGAACAAATCTTGTCAAACCAATCATATAGCTTTCCTTGATAGTATAACAAGATGAGGGGGAAGCAGTGGACATTGTACACCTAGACTTTAGTACAAAAGACAGGACTATGCAGCACTTTAAAGACAGTCTGGTCTTGCTGAAACAAAAGACAAACGGCTACGTCTCCATTTACTAGACTTTAGTAAAACATTTGTTATGGACTCGCATGACTACCTTATCCATAAACTAGGGAAATACAACCTAGATGGGGCTATTATAAGGTGGATGCATAACTGATTGGATAACCATTCTCAGAGTAGGTATTAACGGTTCACACTCATGCTGAAAGGGCATAATAAGTGGACTTCTGCAGGGGTCAACTTTGGGACAGGTTCTGTTCAATATTTTCATCAACGATTTAGATAGTGGCATAGAGAGTATGTCTATTACGTATGCAGATACCACCAAGCTGGGAGAGGTTTTAGGTGCTCTAGAGCAGTATTTCTCAACCAGTGGTACGAGTACCCTTAGGGGTACTTGAGAGAAGTCTGGGGGGGAGGTATATCAACACAACTGAAATTTGAAGAAAACTGAATTTTTGTGTTAATTTTTATAGCGCTTTATTATTGTTGTACTCTTTATACCCAAAAATTTCATCGCCCGCCTGGCTACGATTAAGTTGCTTAGACAAATGTGTTGCAATGGTAGGAAAAAAAATGTGTGTCTGGAAACTGTAGGTACTGAGAGTATATATAGAATCATAGATCTGGAAGAGACCTCGGGAGGTCCAGCCCCTTCCCCAAGGCAGGACCAATCCCAACTAAATCAACCCTGCCAAGGCTTTGTCAAGCTGAGTCTTAAAAACCTCTAGGGATGGAAGTTCCCCCACCTCCCTAGGTAACTCATTCCAGTACTTCACCACCTTTCTATTGAAATAGTTTCTCCTAATATCCAACCTAGACCTCTGCCACTGTAACTTGGCTCTTTGTTCTGCCATCCCTCATTACTGTGAGCAGCCTTTCTCCATCTTCTTTTGAACCTCCCTTCAGGAAGTTGAAGGCTGCTATCAAATCCCCCCTCACTCTTCTTTTCTCCAGACTGATTTTTTTTTTTTTTTTTTTTTTTTGGAAAAAGGGGTACTTTATTAAAAAAGGTTGAGAAACACAGAACTGGAGGATAGGGTCATAATTCTAAATGCTCTGAACAAATTGGAGACATGGTCTCAGGTAAATAGGAGAAGTTTAATAAGGACAAATGCGAAGTACCCTATTTGGGAAGGAACAATCAATTGCACACATACGGAATGGGAAGCGACTGTCTAAGAAGGAATACTGCAGACAGGGATGTAAGGATTATATTGGTCCACAAGCTAAATATGAGTCAACCGTGTGACACTGCAGAAAAGCAAAAATGATTTTGGGAAGCATGAACAGGAGTGTTGTGAGCAAGACGAGACTTAATTCTTCCACTCTGTTGTGTACTCATTAGGCCTCGGTTGAATACTGCATATAGATGTGGTTGCCTCATCTCAAAGGCATTAGAAAAGGTTCAAAGAAGGGTGACAAAAAAATTAGGGTTTTGGAATGCGTCCTATATGAAGAGAGATTAAAAAGACTTGGAGTTTTCAGCTTAAAAAAAGAGGGGGGGGGGAGAAGAGGGAGAATATAATAGAGGTGTATAAAACCATGATTGGTGTGGAAAAAATGAATAAGGAAAAGTTATTTACTCATTCCCACAATATAAAAACTAGGGGTCACCAAATGAAATTAATAGGCAGTAGGTTTAAAAGAAACAAAAGGAAGTTTTTCTTCACTCAGCGCGCAGTCAAGCTGTGGAACGCCTTGCCACAGAATGTGGTGAAGACTAGGACTTTAACAGGGTTTGAAAAAGAGCTAGATAGGCATTGATGGATTTGGATACATGAAGATTATTAGCTAGGATGGGTAGGAATGGTGTTCCTGTTTGTCTTGAGATGGATGACAGGAGAGCGATCGCATGATGATTACCTGGTGTGTTCTCTCTCTGGGGCATCTGGTATTGGCCACTGTCGGCAGACAGGATACTGGGCTAGATGGACCTTTGGTCTGACCCTGTATAGCCGTTTTTATGGAGTATTGTGTCCAGTTCTGGGTGCCACATTTCAAGAAAGATGTGGAGAAATTGGAGAAGATCCGGAGAAGATCATAGAATCATAGAACCATAGAGCTGGAAGAGACCTAAGAAGGTCATTAAGTCCAGCCCCTTGCCCTAGGCAGGACCAATCCCAACTAAATCAACCCTTATCAACTTAAAAATCTCTAGGGATGGAGACTCCACTACTTCCCTAGGTAACCCATTCCAGTGCTTCACCACTCTTGTACTGAAATAGTGTTTCCTAATATCCAACCTGGACCTCTCCCAGCCGCAACAAAAATGATTAAAAGACTAGAAAACGTGAGTTACAAGGGAAGACTGAAAGAATTGGGTTTGTTTAGTTTAGAAAAAGAGAAGAGTGAGGGGGGACATGATGGCAGGTTTCAAGTATCTAAAAGGATGTTTCAAGGAAGAGGGAGAAAAATTATTCTCCTTGGCCTCTGATGATAGAACAAGAAGCAATGGGCTTAAATTGTAGTAAGGGAGGTTTAGGTTGGACATTAACCATGCTGACATTTAGGAAATTATTCTTAAACACTGGAATAAATTGCTTAGGGAGGTTATGGAATCTCCATCACTGGAGATATTTTAGAGCAGGTTGGCTAGACATCTGTCAGGGATTATGTAAATCAGGGCGGGGCAAAATACGGCCTGGGTGCCAGATATGGCCTGTGAAGCCACCAGATCCAGCCCATGGACCACCCTGCTGGAACCCTCAGATACACAGCTGTCGTGGGCTTAAAGTGCAGTCCGGCAGCTCTCTGCTCTGGAGGGAGGGGGAGGCTTTGTGTGACTTCCCTCCTCCCAGTCCAATCCTTGGCTTCTATTGGCCAGAAACCACCAGCCAATAGGAGCTGAGAGATGGGGAAGAGGCTTGCTCTACCCCTTTCCCAGAGCTTAGAACCACAAGGAGGAAATGGTCTGCAGGAATGGTCTGCAGTTCTAAGTG